GACAGCTCAGTGCATCCCTGCATCACACACCCCAGCACACCAGCTCTGGGATTAACTCGGAGAGACCTCACTTGGATCTATTTTAATTGGTCCATAAATGATAAGAAGTCCACATAGCTTCTCTTATCCAATCTCCAATTTAATAAAGGAAGTTCTTTCTGATGATTAGACAGGTCTTTTCCTTTTAAAAAATATTTCATCCTAGTATAAATTAATTGCCTTCCAAACCCAGAAGAGAGTCCTTTCAAAAAGAGACATCCTGGCAGGGCAAACAGCCGTGTGTTTTGTTGCTATTTGAGGGGACTTGTGCTGAAATCCCAGCCTTTGCTGCCTTTCTCCTGCCAAGGAAGAAGTACCTCATATCACAAACCAGCAGCCCCTTCAGGCAATTGCCATTTAAAGAGTGGCATTGATGGACTCTGTAAGGAGTCCTATTCAGTGCTCTCTGGCTTGGCAGCATGATGTCAGTGATGTGGGCGGCAAACCCCTGAATTTCCTTTGATGGTATTTGTGCTCTTTTTTCCCCATTTTTCACGAATGAGTGATTCATTTCTTTAAAACAATGTGTTTGGAAAGCCTGCCCCGCTAAGGAATTGTCTACGCAGTGGGGGAGACTTGGAACATTGTATGTCCTCATGGAAGTACCAACAGGGGTTGTGCCAGATCCTTAGTGCAAGAGGTAACAGGGATGCTTGCATCAAAGCCAAAGCTTCATGAATCAAAGGCGCTGACTCTCGAGCACAAGTGCCAGCATTTGGGCAGATAACCCAGCCCGTGCCAATTTAGGGTGAGAGAAAAGCCCCAGACTAATCCTGTGTATTCAAAGAAATGCAACATAAACAATTTTGAGTATCCCACAGCCTTGAGAGTCTTCATTTATAGATATTAAGCAAAGAAATGAGGGTAATGATGTGGGTTCATTTCCCAAACAAGAAAAAGCAGAAATATTTCTGCTAAAAACCGATTTTGCCTCATGTGGGTTGTTCTAAAACACAGGGGATTGGGAAAACAGCACTGGACGAAGAAACTGTGGATGTCCAATCACATGCTTTGCAAGTAGATTAACTACAACATAAATGCTCATGTGGCAGGCAACCAGAAACAGATTTTGGCCAGTATGAGGGCTGTTGGATAATTCTGTGCCATCTCCAGTAGTAAGCAACTGACACTCGACATTCACCAGCAGGGTGATCCAGACTGCTTAGATTAGGCTAAGGCAAAATGTTATATGCAATGGAGAAAACAAGACACTCATGGAAAATCATCAATTATCCTGTATGCACAATGGAGCTGGAAGCAGCATTAGATTAAACTCTAAAATCAGGGTCATGTCTGAGATGTCACTCTCAATGAAATTCCTAGATTGGGCTGAAAATTATGTGCCTGTGTTCACTCAGAAAGAAAATGTGGAATCCCCTTCTGTTCAGAGGTGTGTAATCAAGAATTTCTTGTTCTCTTAAAAAGACAGCTAAAAATCAAGGTGACTGCACAAGTTTTGCATAACATTTTTTGTGATTATAAAGGTAAGTGTGAACACCTTCAGACAAATACAAGTATCTTAATCATTTAACTTTGCATTTCATATATAAAACATTAAGTGTTTCATTGCAATAGCTGATCTCTAACTTGGTGAAAAAATTGGCTTCCTCTCCCAACAAGTTTTGCAGGGGAAAGTCCCCATGAAAAAAACTGATTGCCTGACTTTACACCACAACCAGTATCTGGTTCAAAGGATTGGTCCCAAACAGTAGGAGCAGAGGACTTCATGTTACCAATGTCCAATGCAATCATACATCTAATCAATGTTTTCTTAGCCCTTTTCACATTAGCCATCTGCTTAGACAACTTATTCAAAAAGTGTAAGACCTGACTCCACCTTCTTTTGAAGCTTAAATTCCATAATTCCTATATGACAGAACATGTTGAACTGGACAATATTAATGCCTTCTCTTAAAAGTAAGCCACTGGGCAGATGTCTAAGCTCAGTATCAATATTGCTTTATTTCTGTTTAATGCATCCTGGATAGAAGTGGATGTATATGCACTTCACAGCATAAACATGACCCACATCACTATTAAAATGGTCTGCAAAATTCAGTAAGTCAGTGCTCAGATTTCATCTCAGTAACACATTTTGGAATGGTGAGTTTAAAGAGACAATCTCATGAACTCTCTAATGCCACAAGGGCAGAAAGCCTCCTGTTCTCCTCTTCCCCTTCTCTCCCAGAAGATAACATGTGCAAGAAGATGATGTCCACAACAGCTACTGTGTCCTCATTTTCCAAATCAGTTTTTCTGTTGGGTTTCTCAAGCTCAGTGGATCACAATGAGAATAGAGAAAACATTCTTAAACATTCAAAAGCAGCTCCCCATTTGTCCTGCAGTTACATACACACCATAAAGTGAGTAAACACAAGGAAATGCTTTGAAATCAGACCCTCCTTTTTTTTTTTTGGCTCTGAAACTTGGTACTCTATATTCAGTGAGTAGATTTTTCCTTCTGGTTTTTGACAATAAAAGCCATTACAAGTCCGAGAAACCTGCCTGGTGGAAAGTGTGTCAAAATAGCACATACAAAAATTCATTTTCTAACAATAATTTTGGTAGGAATTCCCCAACTGGCCCCCTTAAATTACTTATAAAATAATTTTGTATTCTCTAATATGGGGAACATTGGATTTTTCAGTGCAAATGTTATAGATATTATTTGGAGTAACAGTAGAAATATACTTTCAAGAGGATGTATTCCTTGAATCATTCACTTTTCTGTGTCTTTTCACAATGTTGATGAAAAATGAAAAAAATCAAACATTCTGTAGAACAGAACTTCTGAAAGAAGTTTACTAAAATTTTTGTTTAAATTATATTGATATAATATTAAATATTAAATATTGTCTTGAATATTTAATGTTTATTTTTAAAAAATTATATTTGTGATACTCTATTAACATGATCAGAGTACTTTCTTATTTTATAATAATTGTAAATTTTAAAATCCCAGTATTAACAGATTCCTGACAAACGTTTTTGGTTTAGTGGAACTGTATTTTCTGGTAGAAGTCAGCATAGCTTAAAAATTTTCAATCAACTTTAGAATTATACATAAAGACAAGTGAGGCTGTGATTTTCAACCACATGTGGAAATAAAAATCATATGGATGAAATTGAAGGTGACTGAGATTTGGGTACCATGTCCCAGAGGATCCCTTTAAAACCCTGAAAGAGTGTCTCAAGCACAGGATGTAACTTTTTAAAAATAAAAACTATTGGAGGCACATGTCTAGGAAAACTTGAAGCACTATACTGCTGTAGAACTTTAACTTCTTTAACTTCTAAGGAGCTGTAGAACAATACCTTCTTTTGTTAATCCTAATAGATAGATTATTCCAATTAATACATAGTAGGAACTTCATTATATGTTATATATTGGTGCTTTGCGAATTCTGATACAAATATGTATCTTAAAAAAAAAAAAACAACAAAACAATAAAGAACGAAAGATGAACAATCATTTAAACCATGTCTTAGAATTTTATTGGAACTCTGTGAAATACTTTGAAATTTTATTTGAAGTTCAGTAACTGATGTTAAGTCATCAAACAAGATTCCCTGCCTTTATATAATTGATTGCAATTCATTCTAAACTTCAGTTGTGTCTCCCTGCATACTAACTTCACAAACACAAAACTTCCCACTGCACTTTTATTCACAGGCTTGTCAATCAGGTGCTCACCGGTCCCTTAAAGTTTAAGCCTTATTAACCTACACACTGGATTTGACTGGTGATAGGCCACAACAAACAAAGAGCACCAACTCTCAGGTTCCAAATCCTGTCATCCTAGTTCAGAGGGTCCCTGCAAACCCCCTGTAAGAGATGAAAGGATCAGTCAAATGTCTGATTTTTCAAACACACAGGCAATGAGGGCACATTGTGGAAAAAAAAAAAAAGTTAGTGGAGTCCCCTGCTGATTGAGATATCTTCTAAAAAAAAATAACTTGGTGCTGATCTTTGTATGCAGATAGCATTGGTTTCTAGCCCAGGTCTTCATGGGTTATGTCAAATGCACATTGGGAACAACATGTGGAAGGTCTGGACTGAACATATATTTGGCAAATATTGTTCAATTGAATTGACCTCATTCCAGTGTTGCCCAGCTACAATGGGAAGCCAGCATGCCAGCTACTTCAGAGGAATTGAAAAAGCACTGCAATTCTGGCAAGAACAATTTTATTTCATTCATTTTCATATGTAATCCCATATCTTAAGGCTGCTGTATAGACATGTACATATGCCCTGATTTGGTATAGAAATTATTTTATTACAATTATGCTCATTAATGGCTTAGGCATGTTGGTCAAATGTAATCCTGCTGACTGCTGACATGGTCAAATGTAATCACTCTATTTATCAGGATTTTCATTACTGTTAGTTAATATTAGAGAATTGCTCAGAGAGCCCACTCAGGCATGGGACCCCTTATATAAAAGGCAATGGCCTTTCATGTTCTGTAAGTACAAATCTAAATAATAACTATGAACTGTAGAATGCAAAGTAGAAGAGCTGAGGGGAAAGAGAAAATCATGTTAATGAAGAAATCTGAAAGGGCTTTTTTTAGGATTATTTAAGAAAAAAATCTTTGGCTTTTAACACAAATAAACCAATAGAACGAAAAGCAAGAAATGACAATCTAACATGAAGGCAGACTACAAAACAGAAGCTGACCTTAGATTTTCCCAAAAATATTTGTTTATATTCCTACTTTCCTGCTCTTTTTTATTTTGGTTTTCTCCTAAGTAAAGAATAATAATAACTGCAGGATTCCAGCAACTGTTGAACCTGCATGAAACAATATTCAGCTTCTGACTGTAATGGCTTATGAGCTTCCCACTGAGCTAACTACCAGTTAGTAAAATGTAAATGACACAATAAACAGGGCTCATGAGAGGATCAGATCATACATACATTTTTCTATAGCACATTTTGAGAAGGGGGAAACAAGTGCAGGTTATAGCTGAATAGTACAGGGAGCACGTGGCAACAGGTCCTTTATTCTGTCTACCAAAGCAAACTGGTTTTTTTCCTGGGGAAAAAAAAGGCATAACAAAATGATGAGTAAAATGCTTTTCCCAGAGTAATAGATTCAAAATCCAGATGGTTTTACCTACATATCTTAAGACTTAGAAAGAAAGACTTAGAAAGAACTTAGGGTAAAAAAACAGTGAGAAATAATCCATCAGGATATAACTTTCTTGTAAAAAGTTGAGCATCCCACTTATACGATATTGTCTTCTTCTTGTGTCATAGTAGTATAAACCAGATTATTTAACAATGTTTTATTTCATATTTTGGTAGGATGCTACATCAACTCTCAAAGGTATTAAAATGTGCATCTTTTGCTTGTTTTCTCTAGTCATTAAATATCTTTGACCATTTTTTTAGAAAATGGTAATGCTACGATTTTCTTCTCTTTTCTGTGTCAGCTACATCTTAATACTTCTGTCCTTTAAGAAGATTCCTGCCTATTCAATAAGCATGTTAAATAAAGGGTAAATGTATGAGTAAACTGTTTCTTATATGATTCAGAAGCTCACAGCAAAAAAGCAACCAAGCATATACAAGTAATACGCTGTTCCTCAGGAAATACAATACTTGTACCATAGCTTTGGCTTTATGTTGCAGAGTTGGACTGTGCCTGAGAGATGAATGTAAAAGATAAAGAAGCATTGTAAGGTCAGTGACTGAGCTCCTCTTTTTGCTAATCGGCTTCCCTTGTTATCCATCCAATTTACTAGAAGGTTCACCTTTTCATTACTGCTAGAAATTAACTAATTTTTTTCTTTTTTTTTTTTTTAATGAAATGTCCAGGGTAACAAATTGAAATTGTTGTTGTTCATACAGTTCTGTAACAGTAAATGAGATTAAAAACAAACAAACAAATAAAAATTCAGCAACTCAGCAGCATTTTTTCCTCCAAAGAGTATTCAAATGCAAATGGGTTTACATGAAAAGAGGTACCAGGCCTTCATAGATAAAATATTTCATGGAGATAGAGCTTCCAAGGCCATGAAAGGAATGTCAATGTCACATATTAATTAAGAACAGATTTAAGATGGATTGACCTGGAATTTTCCAAATGAATATATTGCTGTTAAAAAATAATTTTATTTTAAAATAGAACTTTATATGGACATCCTGTTCCAAAATATCTTTTAAATGTTAAATGCATAGAATATTATATGTCAATATTTTTTAAATGTAAAATTCATTATCCCAGTTGAAATTATCATAAAGGTCAAAAAAAGTTAAAAAAAAAAGCAGAATAGTTATATAGAAGTGAACCAAAACTCACTATGTATCTACAAGCTTTTAAGAGGTTTTTCTTTTCTTCTTGGATCAAGACAAAAAAGTAAATTTGTTGAAAAAAGTGCAAAAGTTGTTTTTTTTCAAGTTATATTCTATATCCCAAGATAAGATAGGAAAAAAAAAAAATTGAATCAAAATGGGTAACCCAAAGATGAGGACTTTACGAGTTGAAAGATCCAGGTTGAGTGCTTACTTCCATCACAAGATATTTTTGTGGCTTTTGCCCAGAGAGTTCATTCCATGTCCACCTGTCCTAAATTCATGAAAGCAGTTAAGTGTCTATGTCACAGACAGCACCATTTGTCCTCTAGAAGAACACATACAAGGAATCGATACCTCTGCTCTAGAGCATACACAAAGGACTGTCCCAAAATCTGCCTTAAGATAATGCAGCAGATGGATTCCAGTTCCTTAGGAAGTGCTGGCTCAGGAGAAGGATTGGTTCAAAGTTACAAGGACTTTGAAGAGGCTGACAAGGAATAGAAGTCCCCAGAAGGACCACACTCATTAGATGTTCCCCAGCTATGGCTAACTTACACAGCTAGCGCAAGCTATAACCACCCTGCACTGCAATTTTTTGTATTAAAAGAGGAAGGTGATATGTGAAAGACATATTTTACTCAGACATCCTAGTTAGTAGTGGGACTCTCCTGATATCTCCTACCTCAAAGGATCAGTCTAGGGGTTAATATCTTAAGTAAATATTAGCTCTGTGGACACTACAGTGATAGAAGGGAGGGAGGGAAGTGCCTTAATTCAGAAGAAGGTTGGGAAAAATGTCTATATTTTGCCTTTCTTAAAATATATATATCAATGCAGAATATTAGAGAGGAGAACATATGAAAACAATATATGGTGAAGAGAAAACAAGAGAATTCAGCAGTGATTATGAGGCATATTAAGCAAATTCAGCTCTAAAGATTAAGAAATTGATGCAAGGACACCAAACACTACAGAAAAAGAAAATCTTAGTAGCTGTTCCATATTGAAAATAATGTTCTAAAAATGTGATCTTAACACTTATAAAAATAATATAAATTCTTAAATTCAAAACATATATTTTCTAGGAAATATCTGTAGGCACTTTGTGTGTCATATTCTATCTCAAAGGTAAAAGAAGAAAGTTGAGAACTTTTATGAAAATTGAAAAAGCCGTTGGACTTCAGTCATTCCATTGACTTGTCTTGCAACCCCAGTCTATATATTTTAACCTTCTCTTTATCCTTCAATTCTTACTATAATACCAAGCAACTTTTGGATGAATCTCTCAAAAAATTTTATTCTTTAAGCCAGTCTTGGTTTTAATTATTTTTCTTAGTATATTTTAAAATAGTGATGAAAATAAATAAGCTGTTGTGTCTTTTAATCTCAAGAGTAATAAAAGAATTTGAATAGGCCTATTATTTATATAGACTTTATAGGTCTATTATTTATATACACTATTATGAGTATAAAATAGGAAAGAAAAAGTTAAATATTTGTAAGTTTGGTATCAAGTCAAGGTGAAGACCCTTAGGCAGATGAAATGAGAAAAATCTTTGGGATAATTTTCATATGAGATAAAAGGGAAGATATGTGAAAAACTATAGGAAAGTGCTCAGAAGTTTTAATTTAGGATCTTCACATTTAATAAATGTTCCCACTCACTCCAAGACCTCACAAACCTAATCTGATCCTTTGTATCTTCTGAGTGCACAAATTATTAATGAAGAAATAGCTGTTGTTCTTTGCATAGTAAAAAATTTACACCAGTTTTGGACTTTTAAATCCAAAGCGCAGCATTTAGGGGTTTCATTCTACCCTCAGCTACATATTGCAGGTGCTTGACATCTCTTAAGTACTGCAACTCATCATCTCAGTTTGGATCCCCAACAGTTTAGCCTTACTATTTTGACTTAATGTTGGCATTTATTATAATCATGGATAATTATGTACAATTATAATTAAGCCCTAATCCTCCTCAATTACACTGACATAAATTAGGCATAAGACATAATTTAATCAAAATTAATGGATTTGCGTTAGTGTGGAGCTGACACAAGGATAAATCCAGATCTTATATCATCTTATGAAGTATAGCATTCCAAACATGCCAGAATGAACCCATCTTATAGGTAAGTATTGTTCAGTTACATGATTTTTTTGCTATTCATTGACTGTCATTATTAATAAAAAGGAAAAAATGTATTGGTTCAGAAAATAAAGCAAAAATTTCAAAGGAAACACTGAAATCTGAAAGAATTTCAACTCTTGCACATAAGAAAAAGCATTTGTAAGATCATAAGAATGTTTATAAAGATTACTTTAGTTAAAATAATCAAAGGAAAATTCATTCCCTTGGGCATTTTAAATGTATGTGGTAGAAATACATCCAGATGCTAACTTTTCTGGCTGACCAAGAGCGGCCTTAGAGAGGTGGTTGGGGAAATGATCCTTTACAAAACATGAGATACAAAGCTTATGTTGTTGAAAGGAGAAGCATGTAATCAGCTAAAGAATTCCTGAGAAAGACCAAGGGCGGCAGATACTGAAACCTTGAACTTCCTTACTTCAATGCATTTTTTGCATGCTTCCTGAAGAAAGGAGCAACCAAGGGAATTTATTAACTTTTAACTTAATTAGGTAGATGCCAAAAAAATGTTCATTCCTGGACAAGTCTATTTAGACATTGCGACCTTCAAAAAATTGTAACTCCTCTCTAAGGACCCCAGTGGGGATTTTTTTTAAGAGTCTATGTGAACTTTTCAATCTTCTAAATGTAACAAAGGAGAAATTTTAAGTGAGAATTTTAGGTGCTCAATTTCATGAGAACATATCTAAGGCAACAGACAGTAGGGTGTGTATATATGTGTATAAGTTTAATTCAGATGGTCTATGGAAATCTAAAATAAACTTCTACAAAATAATATAATATCCAGTTCCTGAGAAATATAACAGATCTTTCACACACACTACAATATATGCAAGCATAATTTTTTTTTCTAGGTTTGATTTCTATTCATTGCTCTCTGTCAGAGAATATATAGCTTAACTCTAACTTTCCTAAGCAGCACTGTCAAACCTATAATATAGAATTATGTTTTGTTTAGTTTTGTTTTGGTCTTTTTTTTAATTTAGTTGTCTCTTATGTGAAATTGTTGACGAAATAAAAAGGGAGACTATTTTAAACTTTTCTCTTCTTAGGCTCACAAGAAATGCCAAAAAAAGCAACAGAATTCAGATGCCGTGTTTCCCCCTGAGACACTACCATTGTTTCACATGGTGTCTTCTGTGTCAATCAAAAAAAGAGGAGGAGAGGATTTTGTCCCTGGCAATGGAAAGTCAATGCTGGCCCTTCAGCCTGACAGGAGCCATAGGCTGTGTACAGAGCTAAGAAATAATTCAGACTTTAAGAACCACTTCTACAGCAAAAACAAGTTATAGGTGTAGAACAATCACTCTGTGCTAAACCATAATCAGATTAATTTTATTCACTGGGTTGATTTAGAGTATCAACACTGCAAAGAAGGTTGAAACCAGTCCTGTTGACAGAAAGTACCTAGTTCTCTAACCTAATTTACTGGCCACTGGTGGTGAATTAATTGAACTACTTCCAAATAAATTCAAATGTGTTGGAATTAAGGGTAGATAAATTATAGAAAAGCCATCAGTCTTCCTCAAAGCCAGGGCGAAAAATTCTAAGGTAAAATTTATATAGAATAATTTATTTTTAACAATGGATTATTAAATCCATTCACAGGTACTCTCTGTTACACATCTTTTGAATTATAAACATTATCCAAAGGATAACATATAAATGAAGGCTATCTCAAGGAATAATACTAAAACGCCCCTATAGTAACTCCCATGTTCTCTGAACTGTTGTTAATTGGGATTTTTTTGTCCACATGCTGCAGTTGTGTAACCAGTCTTGTATCCCTGCTAGCAAATCCTACTATTGGCTATCAGTATTGAAGCCCTTTTAATATTGTCATCAGCTGTATATTCAGTCTCTGAATCAATAGCTTTAATCATCTTTATGGCTGTTCTTTTATTCATGTCTATTTATTATAGTGCCACAATATACAATGTCGAGTGAAGAAAATTACAAAGGACCACTGGAAAAAACAAAACCTAATAAACACAACTAGGAAAGCTTTGAAATGAAATAATTTTTCCAAAATGCTGTCTCTGAAGACTTTTGGTGCACCAGGCAGTGCAGGCAATTCAATCATTTTTCTAAAGGCCTTGGTAAACTTTTATACACAATATATTTCAGTAAAATCAAGACTAATATAATTTTGGTTACAATTTATATGCATGAGGATTTTTCTTAACCATGCAAAATAAATAGCAGATATAAACTGAAAGATAAATTAGGTTAACCAGCTTAATTGAAAAATGGCTTTTGCTCCACTCCACTTTTTTCAGTCACCAAACTGTTAAGATGCCCAAATACTTATTATTTTTAAACAAAATTACTTAGCATGTCTGCAATAACTCAGTAGACTACTCTTCTGACTAAAATCACATGATTGTACATAATTTAAGAAATTCCTGAGTTATTCTATAGAGATTATCACTACTCTGGAACTAATTTCACAAAGGTAGAAGATGCCCAATTGTTAATTTACTCATTTGTTTAACTCCTTTTTTAAAGTTAAATTTTTTGTTTTAGTCTTGGGAAAACCTTACATTTGGGAAAAAATTTTGAAAGCATGACAGAAATTTTCATCTTCTGCTTCTATCATCATTATAACAGTATCCTTGGGGAGGGGGAAAGAAACTATAACAACAATGACCAAACAAAGCAAACAAACAAACAACCAAAATAAAAAGATGCTGCATTGAAAAAATTAATCTCAGAGGTTTGGTGAAATTTGGATTATCTTTGGGCTGAGAGAACTTCTACAGCAATCCCTGGTAAAGGCTGTGTCTGAGCAAATCAGAATCTGTTAGCAGCTTCACATGAGTGTCAGAAAACACTGAATTCAAACCCTTAGATTCAAAGTGTCAGATTTAAATGCTCAGAAATCTCACCTAGAGGTTCATAGGAGCATCTACAGAAGACAGGATTTAGAAGAGGTACATGCACATATATAGACCTTGCAGTTTATATAATTTTGAATAGTGAAAGAATAAAATCTATTTTGATGTGCTGAAGTAAAAAAAATCTTCCTGCATGTGATTCATCCATCTCTGTTACATTACACAGAACTGGATAAAAAAAAGCTTTCTTATTTTTTTCCAGATTGAAATGTGGGCATCGGGGGCTAAAAGAACAGTTTTCTCTCTTTTTTTTTTTTCCCCAAACATTTTTTTACCCTTCTTCATTGGAAACATAATGCTGTCAGCTGTCCCTGCCATCTTCCAGTTTCAAGTTTTCTCTTTCCATCTGTGTTCATACTTTTTTTAACTCTTAATCAGGTCCTGCCGTGTCTTTGTATAGGAATTCATCATCATATGGCACCAATTCAGACCTGTAACATGAATAAAGGTTAGTATTTATCATAACTGCTGTAAAGGAAGTGCCTTTAAAAGGAAAGGGAGCATGTAATTCCCTGCCATTCACTTTCTCCTCAACCTTTCACCTTTTAATCAGTAGCCATAACCCAAGAAGATCTCACAATGGAAAGTTAATTATGAGGTCATGAAGATGAAAGCATCTGACTTGCATTTTATAAAGGTACTTTGCTTTTAAATTATCCCTGATTTACCTGCATGAAAGGAAAGGAAGTTCCCAAAGATTATTCAAAATGGACCAGACTTTCAGATGCCAGCATTTCCAAGTGAAAATGGAAATGCAATCCTGTCAAGTGTCCTTTGAATATTTCTTAGGAAGGAGGCTTCCATTTACCAATATGACCCGACTCATAAATTGAAGTTATGTTCATGGATATGAGTATTTGGAGCACTCAAAGGCAATAGGCCATGGAGACTGTACTGTTCATAACTAGAAAGGTATCTAGAGTCAAAAACTCCATAAGTTAGGTATTTGTATCTACCAGCTTTGGGAATCTGATTTGTAATATTTAGAACTTCAGGGAAGGGCATTGTCCCATCTATGCTGAAAATCCTAAACTTATTCTGTCTTAATATTTGCAGATGTTGAAGGCAGAAGAAACAACTGCAGAAAAAAAATCCCAGTAATTTGTTTTATAACATCTAGTATCCCAGGAAGGTAAGATGGAAAGTTTGCCATCTGTAAATGGTAACAACATGTATTCAGAATTGTCTTTTTTTACATAAGAACGAAGATACTCTGTTCACACAGTGGTGAAGGCAAGTACCCCAAAGACAATTAAATAGTTAAACAATGTGTTAATTTTAGACTATCTAAACTGAATTACCAGAGTACAGAATGCATGGTTTGTCCATGTATATGAGGCAGGGAAGAGCAAGAGGCTGCCTGGGGGCCATCACACTTTCCTGTGGAAAACCATCCTTTCTGCATCCAACACGTAAGCACTGGAGAGGACCTTGAGGATACAACATTCTTTTTGGCAATAGTGTCTTTTCATTGAATTTCCATAGGAGTTACTGATTAAGGAACACCATATTTCACTCTATGATCATAAATAGTACAGTGATACCAGCTTTCTATGATGTTATTATTGGCTGCACTGTTCCTCTCCCAACACTGCTTTAAATTATATCTGCTTGGTTATTAATACTCCTTAAGTTGTTTTTGTTTCCTCTAAGGGAAGGACAAAACATTTTCTTTGGACTTTTCATGACAGTTAATGGTAGAGGATGAATGGAAAAAGAGAGGTTGTGATTTAAGTTGGCGAAGTATAAATTATATATTGCTTTTCCTGAAATAGGACTTAATTCTGAGAACTGAAATCAGCAGTTATAAGAAATTGCTGCTCTTGTAGGAGCAAACCCAGAATGTCTACACTTGATAAAGTAAGTCTTTTAGCAAGTTTTTAACATGAACAAGAAAATGTTTTGTGCAAAAGAAAATTTTCCTTATAATGCTATAAACCATGAGGTCAGCTGCAATATATAAAATAAGCACAAAGCTTAAACAAGAGTTTCATGTCTTTGGCATTTCCTTGAAATGCCATGAAATCATTTTTTGATAGCACTACCCTTTTCTGTAAAATGCAGATGCTGAGTGTATGTGTTCAGAGAACTATACCCATAATGCTGCATGAGGATCACAGAAAATATTAATTAATAAAGAGGAAACAACAGCACAAAGCCAGTTCAAATGTAATTGATACAATTTTTAAAAATAATATTACAGTTCCATGAAGACATGGAATAATGAAACTCTCTTTCACTACAATATTATCAGTTCAGCTGTGACAGGAAGCCCTCTGGATACTATTCTCATAGGCTTCTTGTTCACATTTTCAGATAAAGGGAGTTTGTGATATGTTTTGAAGTTAGGCATGATTCAAACCGGAATTTGCATGAATGAGCAATAGTGAGTTTATAATCTGTGCATCTGGTAATCCATGCTCCTATTCCTCCAAACAGAAACAAGCCTCTTAAATTCACCATGGATCTTGGATGTTTAGTAATTTAATAGGCTTAAGCTTTATTCCTTCAAGGTAATTGTGCAGATACCTTTAATAAAATACACTCAACATTGCCAGTAAACATTCTAGATAAATGAACACAAGAAATGTTAGATGCAACTTTATTAAAGTGTTAATCCTTGCTGGAAGGCTTCCTGGAGTGTTTGAGGGTACTGTTAGTAGTGATGATAAACTAATTTGCCATGGCTCTTAGGTTCATGTTATCTTTTCTTATCAGCCTAAGGCTAAGTCAGAAAAAAAATTAGAAACATTTGCCAGAGACAGCAAAGTGGCTAATTCAAATACCATTGCAGAGTGTCAATCCATCCATGTCTCCATGATGGTTAGTTTAATGGTCCATTTAATTCTTCAAAGCAATTGAATTTCCACCCGTATACTGATAAGGTGATACACCACAGTAGTGTTGCCAGAATTTATCTTTTTTATATGCAAGACAAGGTTTATATGCAAGAGAGTCTAATTTCTCCAATGCAGATGAGCTAAGGGCAACAAAAGGCTTGAGGTTTTTGCTCTTGTGTTTTCAATGTCAAGTAACCTCTAAAATTGTGGTATTATGGTGGGGTATTATGGTATGGTATTATTGCTTTGACTTATTTTGTTTGGTTGAGTTTTTCAGTCATCTTAAGAAAGTAAGGCTCAAAACAATATTGTGGAGTAAGACATAAAGAACAACATAATGAATCGCTAGCTGTTCCTAAATCTAACAATGTGTGTTCAACTCTGTGATAGTGAGGCAGTAACTCTTATTACCTTCAACCTGTAGGGTTTACTATACCCAGGACCTCTCAGATCTTCCACTTTTTGCACTGGATTGCAAGATAAAGGATACTGAGTGCTCTGCTGTCTTCCACAGTTCCTTTCTATTCTACTTCACAAACTCTGCTCATACTCATTCCAATGCCCTCATGAAATCAGTCCTTTGTTGGCTGAAGTTCCCCTGATTCTTCTACTCTGTTGTTTCCTGGTTGGATTCCATGAAATCAGACAAACCTACCTGGTTAGAAACTACTAGAGAGAGTGTGAAACAAGACCTCTAGATGACATTCCTGAGTCTCTTGCCAATTTATAGTTCCTGCACAGTCCTTCCCTTCCTGTTTGATTTACAGCTATTATGTGTCATGATAACCTGCTTCTTATAGGCTGTGATGTTTATATCATGAATACCTTCACTTATATATATTCAAATGCAGAACTAGATGAATATAAAACATCTGATGACAATTTCCAAAATGTTTAGCTTATAATATTGAATGGAATTGGTGCAATTGCAATAATTGCAGCTTGATGTACCAGAATGCAGTTTGCCTATGTGGCAAAAGACAGATTTTTCTATGTAAAACCGCTTATGTTTTTAGCAAATATTTTTGTGTAAATTGCCTTCAGCTCAAATATAGTTAACAAATATTCATTCATTTTTAGCAATCAGCAGAAAATTATAAGATTGTGTACAATAAATTTGAAAATACTGAAACATCTTACATATGTTGTTACATATTTTCAAATTTTTATAATGTCCAATCTAATTCACACCAGTAACATAATAATAGTCCATAAATACAAAAAACCTTTCCCAGATGAAAATATACTAAGAGTAATGGCCTTATTATAAGAGAATAAATATTATATTGCACTCAAAATTTGACAGTGGTGAAATTAAAATAGAGTTAAATTAAAAATAAAGTTACTTTCAAGTCAATATATCTGAAAACATTTAAAAAATATTTTTCATCTCTCTACTTAATAGTTGAATTATTTTTGAAATTTGCTCAGAAAGGCCAAAGTGTTGGCTCAGCAGAATTTTATTTAACCTGTGTGTAAGAGGTCAAGCCCAGATTAAAAACATAAAAATGTACCAAAGTCCCATCATGACTGAAGTATGCTGTATATGCTTCTGAGATACTAATGAGGGTTGATAGGTTTGATAGGTTGATAGTTTAGGGAAAAAGGTTGGTAAAAGTGTTCAGGTTCTATACAATCAAGGTTTGATTATCATATCAATAGTCTAGTTGCCATGGTCTTTTACACTTGTGGAGCATTATTTCCTGAGACTCTGGTATTGGTTAATATTGAAAAATAATATAGTTCCAATAGAAATGAATTATTTTTCAAGACTGCTGAGAAACAGTGACCAGAACAAAGAAAACAAGAATTTTACCTTTAAATTAACTAGAATGTTGTCAGTGATGCATTAGTTTCCCTCACTTATTGCCTTGCTCCAAACTTCTGCAGCCACTTTCTTTCTCCTCAGAAAAAAACATTATTTGAATGGTTTCATTAATTAAGCAAAGGCAAAACATATCTCAAAATCCTGCATAAACACTTTTCAAAAATTTGGAAGAGCATTTTTAAGATTAAATTTACTTAGACCTAGGAAAAGCATGGCCAGCAGGTCTTGGGAGATGATCAGACCTGGTGATGCGGCCACATCGGGAATGCTGTGTCCAGTTCTAGGCTCCTCTGTACAAGAGGGACATGGAATTCCTGGAGTCCACTGGAGGGCAACAAAGGTGTTTAGGGGACTGGAGCTCTTCATTTGTGAGACAAGGCTGAGACAACTGGCCATGTTTAGCCTTGAGAAGACTGAGAGGAACCTCATTGATCTGTGTAATTATATAAAGGGAAGGTGTCAGGATGAACCAGGCTCTGCTTGGTGGTGCCCAGCAACAGGACAAGAGCCAATGGGCAGAAAGTGATGCATAGCAAGTTCTAACTGAACACGAGGAAGAAATTATTTACTGTGCAAGTGAACACAAACTAGAAATGATTGCCCAGAGAGGCTGTGGAGTCTCCCTTACTAGAGATATGCAAGAACACTCTGGACTCAATTCTGTGCCATGTGCTCTGGGATAAGCCTGCTTGAACAGGGAGGTTGGACCAGATGACTCCATTGGTGGTGCCTTCCAAGGTTAATTCTGTGAAATTCTATGAAATTCTGTGAAATTAATATTAGGAATCTGAATTATATAAATATTTGTGTGAATATATGTATATATAACATTCTAGAATAAAGTAAATGTTATAGATAGATGAGACATTTATACAACAGAAAAGGCAAAGTTAATTTTAAACTAATGAAATCTAGATTTGGATCTGCTTTCTTTGTCTTCATCAAAATATTTGTTCTAGAATTGATAAGTGACTAATATTAAATGAGAAGAAAATAAATAGAGGAAAATATCAGCTTTAGGACTTATGAATTGTTTTCATTTGTGTGTTTTAATCAAAGGATATTTTCTTACCTAGATGTCATATTGGAAATTTTTTTTTCTAAAGACAATGCTCTGACTTAGAATAGTTTCATCTTAAATATAGCATTAAGTAGAAGAGCTAGTCTGGGAGATACCCCATTATTTTCTTAGATTATGAGTGCAGCCAAGGAAATATGAGACAAAATTCTGTGGAACTCCTCATTCCTTGTAGAAGGCACACTGGAAATAATAAGGGAAAATAAGGGAAGGAACATTGCAGTGATTTTTTTTTTTTTTTTTTTTACATGGGTGTTACTTAGTCAAAAGGAAAGTGTCACTAGATTCCTTATTTCTCACACTGGAGCTTTCAATTAGAAGCTGTGTGATACTTTAAAAAGCAAGCTGCAAAAGCATAGGAATCTTACATTACTTAGGACTTAAAC